ATTTTTGGGCATAAGCTTATAATATCAGTTATTTAATTTTTTTTATCTAGGACAGCAATATAATGTCAAATGGAAAATTTTAAAATTCTAATTTTATAATTTAGTAAATAATTTTTTGATCTATTAATTTAATAAATAGTTCTTACTCGAACATTTTTGATTAAAGTGCTATTTGTTGCTCAATGATTTAATTAAAATTTAAAATGACCTCTATATGAGATATATCAAAATAAACGAATCAATTTTCATAGTTTACTTCCTGACAGAATAATTCCTCACACAAAGAGAACAATTTCAGGTATGATTTTCTTGTTAATACCTTATTCACTGGCTCCAATTGAAATGGATTTGGCCATGATTGTTAGCAGTAATGATAGTCTAACTGGTTAGAAATGGTTGTTAATGGTGGTGCTGATGGTGGCAGGAAGTGAGTATTTGCATTAATGGACGCTGAAAGTTTGCATTTCCACTTTTTCAGAACAATGCAGTGAGAAAAAGACGATTGTCGAACTAATTGATTGCGTAAATACATAAAAATTTTTCTTTTTTCTCCGCTTTTCTCATAATTCTCAGTGCAATTTAACAATGTGTACTTTTTTTAGCAAATATTTTTATTAATTGCTACTCAAAGAGTCAATCATAATTTCTATCACTTTCAATTAATATTTTCTCTAACAAAATGAGTGGTGATTGAAGTCAGAACTTACTGATATTTAAATAAGCAAAACTGAATGATTTCATTACTTAATTTATAAGGCATTAACCATATCCGACATGTTACAAGATACAATGCACAGAAATTATTTGACAATAATGATAAATTAAATTTCAAATTGGAAGTGTAATGATAAATTAAATTTTAAATAAGTTTTTATTTTTAAAAAAAAACGAAAAAATTACCAAAATTTACAGTATGTCAATTATCGTAAATTTCTCTAATTCATCTGAAAAAAAAGTTGCAAGGCAAATAATATCGTAAAATAACAACGTTTACCAACGTAATCATTATACGCCTGGAAAATTGCCTTCAATGATCGTAAGAATAAAAAAAATAGCTGAATTCATCTGAACTATTTTTTCAAACAATTTTAAAAGATTACCGAATTCCTATCATTAAATGAGAAATGACCTCAAAATCAACAAATTTCATGGACTATAAATAATTGTCATATTTCAGTGTAATTCGGTAATTAATTTATACCAAATTAACAACAGACACTCAAGGAAAGAAATTATTACCAAATGTGATTATTTTTGAATAGTCAAAAGCGATCGATTTTAACATATCTCACTTCGACGCAAAGAGATCAATTTCGAATATGTTTCATTGTGGCATAAAATTTTGAAATTAAAGAAAGGATAAAAGGGACGAGATATCTTCGCATCCATCAATTGAGAAGAAAACTTTTTATACAACAAAATCATAAAATAACTCTGTGCGAAGAGTGAATGATTCATATCAGTCGATTTCTGCACTTTTATAAAAATTTATGATAATAATAATTCTTAAAATTAAAGCTGAAATGGAAAAATGATATTATTATTACGTTTCATCGATTGGGTTAAATCGTTATAGATTGCCATTCATATCCAAATTGCATTGAAATTTTTTATTAATTATCTCATTTTTTTAACTATCCAGCAGATTAATTTTTTCTTCTACGATCATTAATAGTTCACTGATAATAAAACATTCTTAAATATGCTTATCAATTGCTTACAATGATTGGGATGCTTTGTTGCGTTTGTTTAATCACAATAAATTATCTTGTAGAAGACAAAGTAACCTCTCATCGATCGATGATGAATGATACGGCAAGGAGCATATCATTTGTTGAAGTAAAAGTAATGGAATTCACAAAATCCTTCGTGTTTAGATCTATCATACAAATGCATCCTATTTAATTACAAGTCACCTTCTTGCTGATAATGACCATTAATGTAACATTAAATTACAGAAACATATTTATGTATTCTACACAAACGTATTCTCATCACGGAAATTTTTCTGTTTCTATCCAACGAATTTATGGAATTACCTCGTTTGAAAGCTGAGATATCTTGGAATTCAGGTTGTGCAATATTTTAGGGTTGAATTATTCTACATTTTGCTCTATGTAACTTAATCTATTCTTTCGAAGGGACTTTATAAAGCTAAAAATATCAGTGAGTGAAAAATTCCGGTGATTTTGACAACAAATTAAAAGATATTTAGAGAAGGGGGAGTTTTTTGCAGTAAAGATTTCATTCAACTCTAAAACGCACCCATTCGATATTCAATTTTCCACTTTTTTAATTCATATGAGCTCATATTCAAGTCAGAAATTGTTAACAGACGAATTCAAACATTTTCGAAAATAATCTTTATTGTAATCCCGATTTTTTCTTCACTCTCACTCTCTTTTTTTCTTTTCTCTCTTAGCGAATTCGAATTTAAAAAAAAAAGTCAAATCTGGAATTAAAAAGTGAAAAGGCTTCAAATTTTCGCGAAAAAATACTCTAAAGAATGAGAAAATTAAATAAATTGAAAAGTGGAAAAAGCTATGAAACAGAGAAAAGAGAAGTAAAATATCGCCAAAATAGCACTTTCATAAGAATTTGTATGGCGCCTATCCCATTCTTATCAACATATGCAGAACCTCTCGCCCCAAATACTGTTCTTTATACTGTTAGCACGGAAGCAACAGGAAACAAAGCTATAAATTATCCTATTCCCAATTGAAATCAAAAGACAAATTGAAAAATCCCTGTCGTCATTTCTTCTCTCAATCAATGACCGTTGACAACTGGAACTCATCCATGGAGCAGTTATTTTCTATAAAATGAGTCGCTAAATCGGCACTATCGGTACCTCGTCCTTCAAAATATACATTTTGCATTCTGGAAATGCTCAGGAACGGACTAAATGAGTCACAATCGATGGTGTGCCCGCTCATTAAGGTCGTTGAAATGATCGTTCAACCTCTTCTCATGCATTTCACAAAGTCGTTATACAACTATATTCAAATTATAATATGCGGGCTGAATTGCTTTGAAAGATTACATACCATCTGATAAATCAACAATTGCCAATCAAATAAAAACGGAATAGAGATGCCAAATTTACACTTGCAGTTTCAAAATTTGTAGCACAGTTTTTAATCTTGATATCATACTTTAAAAAGGCTTGCTTAACAATTATTCATTTTTAGACTTTATTGAACATGTTTTCCCCAAAATACCATTAAAACCTTCAGAAATTATTCCTGTTGCAAAACATACTAATTTTCGCCAATGCAGGTTGAATGCTCAACTATATGAAAATATTTATTTATTCTCAACTACATAATCTTCAGCAATTTCACGGATTATATTATGACCAGACAAATACAAATACGAAAAAAAAAAAATAAAACAGTATAAAAAAAGCTCGCCGAAATCTACTCGTCTCTACAGTCCTGTAATTTAAGAAATCTACTTGTCTCAAGTAATCCTGTAATTTAAGAAATCTACTAGTCTTGTAATTAAGATGAGGATATTACAATACAAACATCGAGACGCTTACATAAGCAGTGAGAGTTCATAAACACCTGTTCAGAAGACAATAACTCAGAAAATTCATGAATACCTGTTCAGAGAACAATGACTCAGAAAATTCATGAATACCTGTTCAGAGAACAATGACTCAGAAAATTCATAAATACCTGTTCAGACAATTATCTAATTAGCCTACTAAATATTAAGATTTATAAAAAGCCAGAACTCGTCAAGTCCGAAATCTTCAATAATCGTACCCGTGTTTATCGTACCCATATTCCTTGTACCTATAAAATAAAGTGAATTGGAATTATACAAAAAAGAAGAATGATTCTTTTCGCCATATATTTCGTCTTGTACAATACGGCTATGGCCAGAATGCTGCTATGAAATCGAACAATTACTTGATTTGGGATATACGGCAAAAACAAGCAATATTACTTCTTGTTTATCACATATTATGAAAAATATCTTTCATCACCGAGCATACGATACAATGCTAAATTGGAATAACCCATTCAGTTGAACTGAATGAATTATCTTATGACTACTGCACCAAATCCACCTCAATAGCTACTCGACTTTTACAAGAAAACCTTTACAAGGATTGCTTATTCCACAACAATTGTTCCATTCAAATTTTTATAATACTTAGCCGAAACGTCATAACTATTAACACCCATTTCGTTGATAACACTAATACCCATTGACGTTTGTGTCTTCCAGCTGTACTCAAAAATCTGGGACTGATCTCCGTTCTTCATCATAATTATCGCTATGAACAAAGAACAATAAGGAAGTCAAGTTCAGCACCATCCACAAATTCATAAATTTATAGTAAATAATAATTAACATACCACTTTCGTTCCCACCACCACTCAGGCAGAGGCACAAACAATTCGGGTTTGTCGTAATTCATTTCCTCTAGTGTTGGGATGCCTAATTCGTCCATGGTAGGCTTAATCTGGGAAAAGTAGTTTGATAATTAGCCAAAAGGATCATTTCAATAATTTCACGAAAAAGGACTAAAAGATAAAGCACAGAGAGACTATAAACTAAAAAGATATAGAAAGGAAAATTGTTTAATAATCCTTTTGTTAGGTATGATTATAAATAAACCAAAAAATAAAATAAAATGTTTACAAGAAAGATGTTCTGGAATCAGGAATTTATGCAATCGGAATTACACAGTCAGAAATAGTGGTGGTACCTCCTGCTTTTCATACTTAAGGAAGAAAGTTAATTCCAGAGAGGAAACGAAAAAGCTGCCCAATGATCTATGTTTCCTGATAATTATCTACAAACAAGGATAAAAATATACAGATCATGTACCTTATCCAGCAACCATTTGTGAGTCCATCGTTTGAGAACACATTTCTCTTTCAGAGATTCGATAAAACGTATAGCAAGTGCAAAATCGTTCACTCGTCGGCAAGCACGTAACACAGCATCACAAATATCAGGATCAGGAATCATATCCAGTTCATGTAAGTCTTGCATAGCTATAAAAGCAAAAAAAGTAACCACAATAATCAATCTGAATTGTTCTGTGAAAGTATGCTAAATCGTGGCTCACCTCCTCGCAAGAAAAAACCATCGATGTTTGGATCGTTGAAGATATCCAGGTAATGCTGGTCGAGACCTGTAATTTTAAATGTAAAAAATAGTGTTGTGACTCGGCATTTAGTAAAAACAAGTAATCAAGGCATGGCAATTTTTATCAAATATTCCCTTCAAAATGCAAATTTCAGTAAATCAACAAGTGTATTTCACAATAAAAAGCAAAAATAAAAACTTTACATGAATACACAAAGGAAATGAATAAATTTTTACGTTTGTCTTCCGCATCGGCGAAAAATTTGCCATTCTGAATAGAAGTAGTGGTAATCTGACGTGTCAAATACGGTTTCGTTGTAACTGCCTTACTTACAAGCCGAGCAAGAGACAACATTTCTTTAAATCAACAAATATTTTAGAGAGGCTAAATCAAAATATAGCATAAATTATATAGCATAAATTCAAAATATAGCATAAATTAAATGAAAATATTATCAGATTATAAGGTTAATGTTAAACTTCGCACTGCATTATATAATAAAAAGTGTATCTCTCTTATTAGCGATAGAAAGACAACGACAACACCTTTATTATGATAAGAACGAAACCTGTTGTCACCTGACTTTTCAACTTTCAAAAAGACCCCCCCGGGGAGCACGAGGTGACATCACTCCCCCTAATTACCCCGTAAACATCACACACCAACACCCGACCCAACTCCCGCTATTTCCCAACCAAATTTAAAATTGCGGCCGGTGGCACTTCAAAGTCTCGAAATGCAATTTCATTCCACATCTATTTGTATAACACTTTGTGAAAGGAGTGGAGATTCGAGGTCAATTTCAAATTATTGTCGTTCCTGTCGGCTTTTTTTTCTGGCTAACTTATGACAGACAAAGAAAATATTCCAATCTTATGCAATGAATCTTACCGATAACAATGTAATCTTCAATTTTAAAAATTGCCCACCTGGCGAAATTAGTGTCTGATTATTCCTGTGACACTCCAAAAAATAGAACTAATTGCATGCCATTATTTCTCTATTTATTTTCTTTTTTTTTTCCTCACTCGAAACTGTACATTTTAGAGGAACAAATTTTTAACTGAGCAATGATCGGTATTCAGTACTGTCTCCTTTCTGCATGACGAACAGAATTCGTATAGTAACGGTATCCATCAGTGATATATGTGGAACATTACGAACGTTTTGGTTTTGCGAGAGAAACGAATGATCGATTTATATATCGAATCTGTCTGAGGAGAGAACAGTTCGATCTTCTTTGGATGACAACTGTATAATTTTTGATGGATTTTGATCTTATCTACATAAGACGCAACATTGTATCTCATTTCGACGGGATTCATATCAGACGAGTGAATGGATGGTATTGTTTTACTCGTTGAATTTAATTAAGCTATGGTTAGAATTGAATTGTTTTTTCCTGATATGCTGCCGATACTATGAAGTTAATCATTGGATGTTAAGTTTTTTGGAAAATGCGCAATGCCTCAAGTAGTGGATATATTTATAATTGAGTTGGTCATTGGTCACTGGTCACTGGTCACTGATGATCAGTCCTGATTGAAGGATGAACAAGGGAGAAAAAGGGATGAATAATGCTTTCATTGTGGCTGCAAAAGTAACACAATCTGATTGTGTGTGGGCATAAGTGGTGAATTTAAATTTTGAGAAGTGTCAAATGAAGTATGTCAACGTGAAGAGTGTCCCACTGAGTCTATCACATTCTCTGTCCATAGGGAGTGTATATGAACGAACTATCTGCCCTCTGTTCACTCACACACATGGAAGGAAGATGTATCCCATCTGTCCACACAGGCTGATGACGATGAATAATTGAGAGTATTGGATAGAATGGCGGAAGGTACGAACTATAAGAGAGATGTATCATCCCTCGTCCATTAGCTTGCCAGATGACCCCACTCGACCTGACTCATCAACCTTCACTCTATAATAGCAATCTCCCTCTCTCTAGTCTTTCGTCCTCTTTCTTCTTACACCATCTCGTTTTTTCTTTTTATCATTGTCTCGTTGATTTGTTCAGTTTAATGATCACTTCTTGTTACTTCATAATTAATAAGGTCAGTTGTCATATGCTTTCTCTAACCCAGCAGTATGCGTTAGATTCCACTCATTTCATCAGCTCTTTCAAGTCGGAAAATACTTTCTTTTAATTCTGATTATCTCATGAAATGTTTTCATATGAATTTTTGATTGAGGGAAAAGAAGAAATAAGATTGAATGAAACTCAAGTAGCAGAATACGAAAGAGACAGAATACATTTTCAAATTTCCTGGTTTGTTTACTAGTTATCTTTTTTTATTTTTTTTAAGTAAATAAAATGAATCGTATTGTTCAGTCAGTCTCCATGGTTAATATAAGGCTGCCTGAAGATTTATTTCAGTTGAGCATAGCTCCTAGCTTATATTAGCTTAATCCATGAGTAAATTCTGCAGATTTTCTTATATATCTTTTCTTTTCCATGGGTTATTTACTTGATCTTTCTCTTTGTTGATTTATTGTTCCAATCAAATATGAAAACGACTAACTTAGCTCTGTCGCATATAATGCATAAATTTATCAATAAAAAGTTTCAATTTATATTTCTAGTAAATAGATTAACGTATTACAGTGAGTAGCCAATCCATACTGGTCAGTCATTTATATTGCAATTAGTCACCATACTTTCGAGGCATGTACTATATAAACAATAGTGTCAGTCTGGGTTTTCCATATTAATTTTAATGGTTTCATTCATTAATGGCAGCAAGACACGCAATGTTCCCTCATTTATTGGCGGATGAAATCATTGTTGGATATCCATTTATTTAATCTTCGGAAAGCTTATTGGAATTATGAAACGATGAGTCATAATGAACACTCTCCTCCTTTCACTCTTTCATTTTGATCTATTCAAATTCAAATTTAATCTCAGTGAGGCTGATGCCTGCCGTATGATTTGCTTTTTTTTTTTTAAAAAAAAACTATCCTCACCATGTACCATAATGTTCGGTTGGAAGATAATTTCGCGGTTAATCTCTTTGACTGAAAAACTAGTGAATTTAAAAATACACGGTTTTTTTACTTGGTGAAAATTTTAAATGTCAATATTCACTTTTTTCTTTTGTTTCCATTATGATTTCTAATACAGCTTGGTATTATTTTTCCGCATGACGTTAATTCTGAAATCATTTACGAGCTTCTTGAGATATCAATAAAACTCATGTAAGCATTTTTGCTTTGCATGAGTTTTATTGATTTAGAACGAAGAAATGGTATTACTGTTTTCGAAGGAAGTTTTTGAAAATTAGTTTTTATTTTAATCTTAAAAAGCGATTGAATAAGTTTTATTTCATCAACACTACTAAAATAGTTTTATTTTATTTTTAATAAGATTGCTTACTGAAAATTGCTCTTCAAATTTAATATTTATCTCATTTGTTAATGAGACAAATATCGTATTTGAAATACACTATAATCAGGACGTTTTTTTTTTTACCTCAACAGGTAGTTTTTGGTCAGATTAAAGACTACGTTTTAGTATTTATGATGAATACAATCTTTTTAACTTAATTTCTTCATTGTTTTCGATTATTATCGATACTTTATTCGATTCTTGCTATACTTGTGTGATTCAATTAATGCAGATTGTTGCAACTATAAACTATATTTAGTTCCAAGATTTCTGACCAATTTCCTTGTTGTTAAGGTTTTCACTCAGCTATAGACGTTCGAAAAATTGGGAGATCCGTCGTTGACAGTAATTATTCTTTGTGTATACAATTATGATATTAATGTGATATAAAGTGTTTCAGTTGCTATAAAATGAATTAAAAGACAAGACAAAGCAAGTGATCTTTTATGTTGTATGAAAAGCAATGTTGGATCATTGTATCCACACAAACTACCGAATTTGGCGATCGTTTATGAAGTTAATTATCTGTATTGAATTGTATTATGATGTTCCTAACGTCATGCTTTTGCTTCTTTTTCATACTAGTACTTTTTACTGATCTCGCAGTTGCTGGTTCGAAAGGTCTGTTTTTTATTAGTACCGAAGAGATTGAAAGACTACGGCATCACATTAATTTCCGGAATATATCCAGACTTTTGTCTTTAGAACTTTCTCGAATTCTAGAAATAATCAGTTATTCTCCGTTGATAATTGATCTGTCAGTGGACGCAGATATTAAATTTAGCTGAAACTCCTAATTCCTGCGTATAATGTTTTTCATCATTTTAATTCAATTTACTAGCAGTTAATTATAAAAAATGTTGAGATTTTCTTTTTTTTCTTTCAGATTAATTTATCGAATGTCTCGGCAAAGACTGGTGTATTACTTTATTCTTTGTATGTGTGTATAATAGACCTCTTTTTGACGATTACAAATTTTTAGACCAACTTCGACATCTCGCTACCAACAAAGATTTTATTAGTAGGCTTGCGGAAGGCGAATTTGAGGTAGTTCATCCATTCCAGATTCGAGATAGGAACGATCGTATCGGCATTGATACTAGGTTAGTTTTTCTTTTTTCCGTACAGATTGTTTTATTTTTCCGTTTTTCTAGTTCGGTTTCGGGTTTTGCTTGCAATGTAAAATTCACCAAAAACATTGCAGGAATCACTATCTAAATGGGACTGTTCATTACAAACAGGTTACAATTGTCATCCGTAGTACTGTTGTCAGTCGTTTAAAGCTGCTGTTGGGTCTTAATGAGTTGTTATTCATTAATGGAACCGATTTTCGGAAAGTGAGTTCAGAGGAAATTCTATTACATTTTTTTAAGTAATTGTAAAGTAAAAAGTTCATTTTCTCCAGTGATGGATGGTTTTCTCGTTGAATATTTTATTCACTCCGATCTTTCCACTCTCCTAGAGTGTGTAATATATACACTCGATTGAAATGCGAAATTACGCATATCTTGCTCCTTAATTAATATTGTTTTTTGTTAAATGTTAGTTGTCACAGACAGTTTTGTTTTTTTCTTCTTAAATTATAGTAATAAGCGTTTATAATGAAAGCATCCATAATAAAGTTTTACTAGTCAAAGTATGTTTCGAACTCAGATCTCCGGTTTCGATTAAGAAACGTTTACTTCGATAGATTATGGGCCACAGGGGAAGGATAGAGATAACATCAAAAGGGATAAAGAATAACAAGAGACTAAAAAAAAATATTATTATTGCTATAAATAATATCTCTTGCCTATCCAACAGATAGTTTTAATTTATATTTTAAAACCTTATTGCTTGAGTCTGAGGGAACTTATAATCAACACCTGACAAATTTGTAAATTTTTATTCTTTCAGCATGATAATGATGAAAATATCCCAATTAGTAGGCGAATTGAAAATTGCTACTATCAGGGCACTG